AAGGGTGAGTCTCAATTCTAGTTTTCTAAGATGGTCCATAGGGATTTCTAGAGCTAGAACCTAGGCTCTAAGGAGGAGAGGAAAAGACCTCACAAAAATGAGGTCAACAAGCATATTCATTTGAATTCTCCCAAACATCATCATGATATTGATCATGCTTCTACCATAATATTACCTACTCATTGTAGTAGGAAGTAACATCAGTCATTTTGCTTGGATTTTCAAAGTTGATTTTGATACCAGAGTTGACCCAAACTACAATAGAAATAGAAATATTATTGTTGAATTCAAATAGGGCTACAACGACGACTATTTAAACATGAAATAAATGATAACAAACATAAAACGACACAAACAAACACCACTAAAGTGTATCCCAAGGCTGTTGGAGGTTGGCTAGGTGGATTGGGATGGCCAACAGGGGTGGTGGCAATAAAGAAATGTGGGTGGCAATAAGAAGGTGCGAAAATGCAGGGACAACAAGTATGAATGTTTTCCTAGGTGATGACAGCGAGGAGTTGGGGTGGATAACGATGGGACAATAGGAAGGAGGTGTTCGTTGGCTATCTTCTGTGGCAACGGTTTGGTGGGAGGGCTGAGATAATAGGAATGAGGTGCAGTTTGGGTGGTAAGAATGCTGGAAGGGAGGGGAAGGTGGCTGGTAGGCTGAGTACTTTAGAAAACTACAAATCAAGGGCTTTTGTGGGCGGCTGCAATGAGGTATAGAGGTAGGGGGCCAGCCAATTGCTCAGATACAAACCTGAATGGGAAAATGGATGCTGACGACTGTCCTGACACAAATTTAAAATTTGGAATTAATCAAAAGCAAACCCTAAGAAAGCAAAGCCACACATATATAATAGTTAATAGATAAAACACGAAGAAATTCGAATATTAAGGAAATAAAATTAAGAAGGGACTAGAAATAAGGTAAGAGATCAAATAGGAAAAAGTGACTGTAGAGTTGTAGCAGCTACAATACCCATCAACTGTATTGTAGCAGCAACAATACCCATCAGCTATATTGTAGCAGCAATAGTACCAATCAGTGGTACTGTAGCAGCTACAGTACCCATCAGCGGTGCTGTAGCAACAACAATTCCCGTCAGCAGTACAGTTGTAGCTACAATACCGCAATCCGTTAAGCTCCTGCGTCAATCTACTGAGGTTGGGGGAGGTTTGAATAAATTCATTGAAGTTTCTGGTTCCTTGTAACACGGAGTCAAGTCTACCACATTGATGGTAGTATAGATATTGTAATCCTCTGGGAGGTCGATCATGTACGTATTGTCATTCCACAACACGTTTTGATAGAATAAATATGCATATTCTTATGGCACATCATAAGCTGAAGTTGCATATCTATATATAGGTTCCCGCAATGTAACGTTTGAGCCCTTAAGTTTGAAACCTTCTTTTTCCACTTATTATACTCAACGAAATGTAGCTGATAAACCAATATGTGAGGAGAAATTAGCTTGAGTGAAATCTGTTGCACTTTGAACCACTCTCTCTAGCAAACACTCAGATCTCTTCTCCATTGATAAAACATGTATCCCATTGAAGAATTTCCTTCCCTATCAAACTCCTTAGATAAATTTTAAGGTTGGGTTTTATCCCTCATGCCTAAACATTTGATGATAGGTATGAACTGAATTTAACATCCAAATAACTCCATATAATCTTTTAGACAAAATGACCCAACTTTTGACATGCTGGCTTCCCTTAGTAGGGACAACTCAAGAATGAGTCTATAGATCTGAATTGTTTGTATTTCTCTTATATTGGTTGCCATGCCTTTGGTGTCTGTTTCTCAAATTCAAGATTGACTTGGACACTCACTGTGAAGTCGATTAAAATCTCTCCCACGGGCTTACTTGGAACCATGTGCGTCCTTTGTGTCCTCATCGTCTTCAGTGTTTACGATGTCATTATCCAATTTTTTCAAGAACGCTCTGCTCAGTGAAACAGATCAATCCCTCTAGTTGTGAAGTCTGATTTAACGTGCTCCAATCCGTGACACTTACAACACTTCCTAGTGAGATAGATTTAGGGATACAAAATGGTTTCATCTGCTCTCCCCTCTCACTCAGCTTTCTCTATGATTGGGTCAGCTTGGATATCTCTTGGGTGTAGTATGACTGTAAGACCTTGAGTTAAATGCTGCTTGTAAGACATGGTGTGAGATTTTTCATATGTTGTTTGTAAATATGAAAACTTTGGTGTGAGATATGGAAATTCATAAGAATTGGGTGCTATGTAAGTAAGTGCCCTTAAATTTATTTTTGTTGTCTTATTTTTAATAGATGTCCCTAAAACTGTGTCTCTAATATATTCATTACTTAAGCCACCATCTGTAAATTTTCCACCTAGTGCCTTAATTTCCTTGGAGGAAACTTATTCTTTTATGAACTGTGTATTAGCTATTGTACTCAGCTATTTCCTTTCCATTTTTTCTCGCATCTTCAATTTGTAATCCATATTAAATATTATCTTTTCGGTATGTCTACAGCATTTGGTTCGATTTAGATGGCATGAATTTAGCATCCAAGAAAGAAGTGAGTTTGCTAGAGTTGCTTTTAACTTAATAATGGAGATGGCTAACCCCCTTGAGGAGTGGGCTTTGAAGAGTCAAGCAACAAGCCTTGTAGCAGAGGTGATTATATATTGAATGATTATTTTTGGCATTGTGAGAATATTATTCGCTGTTTATCTAATTTGCATCTTTCTTTGTCTTCCTTCTGTTTGTCAGGTGGTTAGAAGAGAAGGTGCAGTTTTTTGGCAAGAGCTGCTGCCATCTTTAGTTTCTTTGTCCAACAAAGGGCCTGTAGAAGTATGATATGATATTGCTCAACAAGTTTGGCATTCTTCTGTTGATCACAGTTTTAAAGCTCCTGATGTAGCAGTACTTTATTTAATTTCTTTTTATAATCAGGCTGAGCTGGTTTCTATGATACTGAGATGGCTTCCCGAAGATATAACAGTGCATAATGAGGATTTGGAAGGTTTTTCTTGAATCTTTTTTTTTTTTAATTTTTTTTATTTGTGTAATAACATCCTTTGGTAATGTCCTTTAGCATGAGAATTACCAACCGTTTGAATATTTGCTTTCTGCCTGATATTTGTGGAGCTCCAAGCTAAGGGTTTAGACGAAATGAGTCTAGTTGAGCTCGATTCTCACTGGGTTTGATCTTTTGATTAATTAATTGAGTTCGAGCTTGATTTTGAGCTTAATTAGAGTTCGAGCCAACTTTATTTTGAAAGAGAAAACAATATTAATTCAAGCTAGTATTATAAAAAAATGATAGAATGTGCAACAAGGAGATAAGAAATAAGAAATTAGTTGACATAAAATGTAAAATATAATTTTTTTTAACATATTAATTAATTTGAAGATAAATATTGAGTTTAAGTATATCTTGAGTATGTTTTATATTAATATTTTCTTAAGTTAACCGGCCTACGAGCTAACAATTCGAGTTGGGGCTGGCTTGAGCTTGGCTTGTTAGCTTATCGAGCTTAACACGAGCCCCTTGTTAACCAGAGCCCGAGCCGGCTCACGAGTCGGCTTGGCTCAGTTACACCTATACTCTAAGCTCATTTTTATTAGAAGGAACACAAATGAGTTGCATTGCGTTGTTAATTTACATTTGAATTTTTTAGTAAAGTTTATTAGGTATTTTCCTTGAGTATGACATTTGAAGTTTGTCAGTAGTTGTATGGGTTCGAATTACTCAGGTTGGAGTCCATCCAAGAAACTGATAGAATCAGGGTTCAGTGGAGGATGAGGCACTTCTTTATGAATGTACGGTGCAGTCTAACATACCTTGCACTGAAAATTCATGTATGGTGCGCTGGAAACTAAGATAATTAGTTTCGCTCTACTTTACATATGGCACATGACTTTGAAAATAATTTACTTCTCTGGAGGTTTCGAAAATTTGTAACCTATTTACTGTTCTGCAGATTTAGTTCATGTTTGGAAAAGGGAGCCGCGGCCATCTCCCGTGATTTACTTAGTCTAGACTGAAGTCACTGAACCAATACAGACTCGGGAGGGCCAATCAGATTTTCGACAAGGGATTGGCGCTTCCTTTCCATTGGGGGATCTAATCCTAGTTATATAGGGTTTATATATGTGATCCTTGTGTCTTAATTTCAACAGTTTTTGTGATGTTTCTATACAGGACAGCGGTTGGCGTCCTTGTTTTCCCTTCTAGGGTTGTATCCAAGGGCGAGTGGTTCTCTGGCTTTATCTCGTTCCAAGGGGGTGAGCTTCCAAGCTGGGTCGAGTAATGCTCTGGCTATATCTCGCTCCGAGGCTTTGATTTATTCTCCCCAACTCCTCCGCATCCCTCCCTCTTCGCTGCTATGCATTACTCCCAGCCATTCCTCTGCTGTTTCTGCACTTCCTACCATCACTAGCCTCCTTCCCTCCTCCCATACTTGCCACCGTCGCCCGCCGCCTCGGGACAGCAAGTCTTTGCTGTTCCAGCTGTTTCCAGCTGTTCGCACCCATCCAGGCTTGCTGCCGTCACCCTGGACAGCAACCTCAACCTCGGCCACGCCGCTAGAAGCTTCCCCCGTACCACTTCCACTTCCTTCCTTGCTGCCACCTCCAAGGACAGCCCCTCCACGTCGATCTCCGCTCCTTGCTTGCTGTCCTGTAACCTGTGAAACAGCCACCTTGCTATTCCTGCTTGCTAACCCCCCCTTTCCACCACTCTTCCACTTACATCTTCACCGACTATCCCCACCACCCTTTGATGAAACCCTAGTTTGGAGTTTTGAGTCGTGTCTTTCTTTATTTCGTATTTCTAGAGGTTTTCATTGTAATTCCTATTTGATTTAAGTTATAAAAGTTGTCTTTTCCGTTGTTGTTTGGTTAACTCTGGTATCAATATCCTATTATCTAGAGGACTTTTTTAATCTCTTCGTCCCTACTAATGAAAACAAGTGATTTTGTCATTGACAACTTTTTCTTGTATGTCCTCTCCTTTTGCCTCCCGTACACTTTGAAGGGAACTGTTTGAATTTTGCCTTGTTAATTCAATTTAATCTTCCGTTGTTATATTATATTGTTTGAGTGTAAGAGTGTTAGGGGTGTTATTCTTGCTTTAGTAGCTACGATATTCACGAGCTAGCTGTTTATTATATTGTTCTTAATGAGGGTGTTAGTTACCATATTTATCTCATAAATATTTACCGAAGGAGCTTCCATCTCTTAAGATTCTCTCCAGTGTTGGTTTACTTCAACGGAACTCATCTCTGTGTGATTTTTTTTGAGGGACTTATTTATTTGAGAGTTACATGTTTGCAAGGTTAGTTTACTTCAAAGACGATTAGATTAGTGATATTAGGGGATTGTTGTTTTCCGTGAGACCAAAAGCGGGTTTGCAAGTGTAGTTGCTTGCTGACATTTTTCTTCTTTCTATAAGGTAATGATATAATTTATGGTTATAGATATAGTTTTCCTTTCCTTTTTATGAAAAAGCAATAATGTAGGCTTTCTTGTTTGAGTTTTACCCACTATTAGATGCTAAAATTCTGATCTTCTTATTATGCTTAGATTTAACACAATGTCATATTCATTCAAAGAGTTAACATGCATTAAACTTTGCAAAGCTTTTTTATTTTTTGTTTTAGGTTATGATTTTTTAAAGCTTATTTTAATTGTAAAAATGCCATGTTCAAGTTCCTATTTGAAAGATTTTAATTTTTGCTGTAATTGGAAGATTTATTGGAAGAGACGATTGGATCATATTCTGATTTTTTTTATGATTCTTGATTGGTTAGATGAAGTGGTTAATTGAAGTTTGAATATTTTCCTATGTTTATGATACGAAATCTTCTGCCCAGTTACAATTAAATACTATTAATACACGAATTACATTATGGCTTTTTAATTTTTCTTATTGAGAGGAAAGATGTATTGTGTCTATTCGATAGTGGGATCTCCTATTTTTAAAAGAGACAGGATATAATGCGCCAAAGGATCACCAAATAAACATGAATAATTAGTCTTAATAAGAGAACTTTATTAATTTAAAAGATAACACAATTACTTCCCCTAAACATATTTATTCAGTTAATTTCAGCATATTACAAGCTTTTGAAAATTTATGACCCAAAGCTCTGGTGAGTATATAAATATCCACTAACAACTCTGTGCGGGAAACATAAGGAGAAATAATCTTTTTGATAGCATGGCATTTTGAATGGTGATATCTCAATATGTTCGATTTTTTAATGGAAATGTAGATAAGTCTTCGTTGGTACATTATAAAATAATAGGACTTGTAAAAAAATCGATGTCTCTTTGAAGTGTTTTGGCCCATGTCATTACACACGTGAGTGTTCTATGACTTGCCACCATGTTTGTTTCTTGCTTTTTCATGCGATAAAGTTGGCTCCGACAAATATTTATTATCCAAATGTTATCTATATATCGCCAGTCGATCTACATGGTCTTTAGCAGAGAAGGCTTCTACATTAAGATGCTTATTCTGTGTAAATGAAACCTTTCCATAGGGACCTCTTGATATTCCTGAGGATGCTCATAGCAATTTCCTAATATTTTTTTGGTAGTTTGTATGTGCATACTTACAATTCTTAAACTGACAGATATCCAATTTGGTGATATTAAAGTAGATCAATTTACTAACCTATGATGACATTTTATTTACCCATGTCCGATAATTAGAAACATCCTCAAATAATTATCTTTCTTTTGCAATATTTTGAGTGTTAATAGGAGTGTAGTGGGTTTGTTACCTAAAAGACTATTCTCCCTTGGAGATTAGTTGTATATTCATTGTGAGGATGAAACCTTAATTGTGTATGCTGCCTAAAAAATATTTGGGATGACGTAATCCTTGGTCAAATAACTTTTGAAGATTGTGTTCGGCCTTATTTACGGCATATTGATCCTTTTCTGTAAGAAGATTATTATCTATATAGGCAGCTAATATAGTATAGCCTGAGGAGAGGTGTTTGACAGAGTTATATTGATCTGAATGTTACTATAAAAGCTGACTTCAGCCAGATCTTTTGAAAATTCAAACTCTGTATGTATGGTTTGTCAAATGGTCTTGTTATGCTTGCAAACATTCCTGTGAGGTACATAGTCCGAAGCTTGTTTCATATAAATGGCTTTAACAAGGTCACTATAGAAGATAACATTAATAACATTCATTCAATGGAACATGGAATTGATCTGGCAACTAAGAAGAAGCTATCAAAATAATTTGTTTCATAATTATTCCCATAAACCAAAAATAAATCTTTTAGCGACTAGATGAGTTTTGCACTTATCAATAAATCTATCATGATTAAATTTGCTGGTGTAACCCATTGATAATGGATTGGTTTAGTTCTAAGGGAGGTCAAATTAGGTTCCAAGTGTATCGATTGAGCAATGTAGTGTTTTCAAAATTCATAGACAATTTTCATGGTGGTTTCTTTAAGGCCTTTTTGTATGCCCTTGAAATAGAAACCAAGGATAAATACATGCCAAATCCTGAAAAATATGCAAAGTATGAACAATGGAGATACATGACTAAATATGATGATCAATGCATAGTAAATTGCTTTTCCAAATGGCAATTGACAAGTGGAAAGTAAATAGCTTGTTTTGAGGTTGTGGGTATCAACTAATCCGGTTGGTAAGGGCATTGAAAGTTGTTATTAATATCTTTGGTTTGATCCTTTCCTACTTAATAATAAACTCCCTTCTTGCAGATTTTTGAGTGGTCCCCCCAAAAAAGCTCTTTAGGAGGTGGCTTCTCAACCAATTCGTATATTGTCAGCAAAGGTATTGTTGTAGGAGCAGAAGGATGTATAAGAGCAGCTAATGGAAGAGGACTAGGTGAGGAGGATGGTTCAGAAGACGTTAGAGTGAAGATTCATGAAATTCCACATTGGTATAAATGCAAATGTGTTTGATGACAGGTCATAATAATGATAATCTTTTCAAGAATTTGAGTAATTTATATGCACCAAATAACCCGAGGAGAAATTTATCATTTGTAAGAAAAGCAAATGCACAAAGACTACAAAATATGCAGGTGGAGAGAAAAATGAGATTCCCATGTATAAAGCATGAAAAAGAAAGATACTTTCTTAATAATGATAGAGGAACATTAGAATACGAGCAATATCTAGTAGATAGTGATGCTTGTAAGTAACAACCCCATTCTTCTAAGTTGTATATGAATAATAGGTTTGATTAATGATGCCTTTCTCCGCACTAAAGCAAAATTGAGATTGCATATATTCAGGTGTTTTAGTAGCATGAAAAATTTTACTCATGATATAAAACTGAACATTTGTTTCTTGATAAAAGATGCAAAAGATGGACATAATCTTAGACTTTCATTTAGTAAATATACTAAGGTACCACAAGCATGATAATTTGTGATGGCAACAAATTACCCAAAACTTGAACATGAAGAATATACTTAGGGCCATAAAAATTAGAAAGAACCAACTTAATTGGTCACTACTAGTAGTGACTATAGATGATGAAAAAGACTTTTAATCATTATTTCTAAGCTCACAAGAATTAAATTAAAACATTTGATTGGGAGGATGAAATATACCAAATTCTTGAAGTTATGGTGGTGGTGGAGGATGGCCCATATGATAATGCCCCACTAATATGAAATGACGGTAGAGGAGAAAGCAAAGGGGATCATATTCATCAGATAGTAAATTTCTGCAGATTCAACATCATTACTTATTGTTTTTCTCTTACCGAGATAATGGTTGACATATTAATAAGGATAAAGCGACACAACAATTTGAGATTTAACTAGAGCATGAGTATAGTAAATTGATAGGAAACTTCGGTGCATATAACATATCGAAGGGCAGAGGTGGTTTGTGTGCGCGCGCGCTTGAGAGAGAGAGCCTTTGTTATGAACAAAAATGAGAAAAAACAATGGCAATGATATGTAGTAGACAAGAATGGTTAATCTAGGAAAACATTAATTTCCTATCATATGTGAAGAGGTGCTAGAATGAAGAATCTAAAAATTTGGACATACAAGATGAGATAGCTGTAATAGATTTAGAGGGTAGAACAACATAAGAAGCATCTCATGGAGGTGTGAGAGGGTTGAGCTAGTGATGATAATCCTTGTGAGAAGGTGATAACATGCAACATACACAAAATATCTAAATTCATCTTGAGCAGTTGGAGGTTATTTGAATTTGGTGTGCATTATTTAGAAGGATGATTGTTATGCTCATAGTAGGAGAAAGGAATTGCTTCCCCTTATCCATGACTATATTTATTCTGACATCTATGGCCATGATGATTTTTACCGCCACAATGCCCTATAACTAGCACAATATGATAAAAATTACTGGAGTTGGATTTGATAGTTTGGTGAATGAAAAATATGTCAATGAGCAGTTGCAAGATTGGTAATCATAGAAACTGCTATCAATTGAGATTGCGCTTGTTAAAGAGTTGGATGGAAATCAGAGAGAATTTTAGAATTTTTTGTTGCTGCCAGACTTTTGGATCAACAATAAATGGTGTATTTAAGTAACTCATTTCTCTTTCCTTACAAGTTAATATAATAGTTCTGGATTGACAAGACATTATGCTATAAAGAAATCAAGTCAAAGTATGAAGTATATATTCTGTAAAAAAATTAAGTCATTGTGAGTTAGAGAAAAGATGTATTGAGATGAGAGACTAATTTGCATGACCAACAAGAAAGCAAAACATGCTACTTAATAAGAGATAAGTAGTAGCATTGAACTTGAATGTGAAATTGATGTTAGTTGATGGTTTCTAATCATTGAGAGGAGACTAAGAGACAATGGCACATTGTTAGATAGAATCAAAGTAGGCGAGAATGAATTGCATCGGTAAGGAGAAGGGGGTAATGAGAAAAAAAAAGCTTGTTGTAGCATTTGAGGGCTTGGAGGAAAGCAAATGTAGGGTTATAAGCCGAAACCAATGCTAATAACATGAGTATAACACGTGTAGGGGGCTGCGAAAAGTGATAACCGAGGCTAGTGGCGTGATTGTGCGAGCACAAGATGTGCCATTTTGCGGGCACGAAAGTAGCACAAACAACTGACCTTGCATCAGGTTGAGGGCCTTGAGGCAAGGCGATAATGTGCAGTGCAAGCATGAGTGATTAAGACGTTGCGATTGAGGCCGGTTGAAGATTATTCTGAGGTCGTGCAATTATTTTTTAGCTTAGCTTGGGAGTGTCAATTCGTACTGACCAGACCCTAATAGGTCTGACCCGATCCCTACCCAACTTTTATCAGTAAAAAATCTCAACCTAAACCCGACCCGCTTTCAACCTACTAACCCGAACCCGATATGTATAACCCATTTAAAATAAGAATAACAGTTATTCAGGTAAAAATTGGTTCAATTTTGGGTTGACGGGTTGATTTCATTTCAATTTTGGGTTGGAAGGTTGATTTCATATCAATTTAGAGTTGGCTGGCCAACTCAAATCTGACCCGAAAATTATTCAGGTCAACCCGAACCTGAATTTTTCGAGTCGGGGGTTGAGTTGGCTTGTAAGGTTGAGTTTTGACACCCTAGCTCTGATATCATGTTGAGAAAAAAGAGTTATGTGTTTATTTAGTTGGAGGATCTTTTTGAACTGGTAGAGAGAGTTTGAAAGTTGGACAAAAATGTTTTGGAGGACCACCACTAGCATGGTAAGAATGTATTTCTATGATTAAAATAACATGAATAGTTCTGACAGAAATCATTTTTAAATTGTTGTGCTCATCAGTGTAATAATTCTATTGTTGGTATACTGTCTTACTTTTTCTTCTCTTCTTGGTATATAGAGTTTGAAAGTTCTTATCCACAAGCTCCTTTGTACTAGAATGCTAATTTTAAAAACAAAAGAAAGAGAGCTAGAAATTGTAGGTGGGTTTGGGTTATTAGTCAGTTGTTTGTAGGTGGGTTTGGGTTATTAGTCAGTTGTATAGGTGTGGGTTCAATCATAATCTTTGGTAATGCAATTGGGAATGCGTTTATTCTTAGGCATGATTTAAAGTTTATTCAAAGTTTTGAGTACAAACTATATCATAAAAAGGTTCTTATTTGTTAGAGGATCCTTGCTGCCATGATGCCTCTGTAGCTCTTAGTGCGCTCTAAAGCATTTTGAGAAATTTTAATCAAATAGCCTACTAGAAGAATAACAAGACAGAATATCATCAAATCCAACTTTATATAGCAGCTAATAAAAATGAGCCAACCTAAACTTCTTTCTCCAAGTGGCAATTTAAATCTAATTTGACTTGTTCTCTAGCCACTGAAAGCTTGGATAGCTTGGCAGTAGCAGCATCTACATGAAGTAACTTACTAAAAATTGAGCTACGGGAGTACAAAGCAGATTGCTTGAAAAAGTGAATTCATAGATGTGGACAAACAACCCAAACTAGAGCAACAGTAGGGTCTAAAAAGTAATTAAAACTAGGTGACCACTTAGGCATGTGCATTAGGAATTCATCTGCATGGTATGTTTTTCAAGTGAAGAATCTTGAGTAATTATGTTATCGGGATAACTTAATAAGAACCTGGTAAAAATCTAGAAATTTAATAGTATAATGTCCAATTAAATAACGATCGGCCATGAATGTGCAAATAATCTTCATATTGAGATGACCCAGGAAAATTTGTCAACAATTAAAATTAGGTGACCCATAATAAAGAATGATTTCATCTGTTGCAAATAAGGTTTCTTCATTCATTTGATATCTTAACTTCTAGATTTCCTTTTTTTGAATCCATAATAGTTCATAATTTTAATTTTTTAATTGTTTAGTCCTCTGCATGTGCATACTATGTGTAGGGTTCACATTGAAAAAATACAGACAATGCTAAGAAAATCTTAATTTATATTTAATATTTTGCTAGTTCTCTAACATGAAATATAACTGAGAGGTTTATTTTTGAATCTTTCTATCATGAGATTACATCCTTCATCCATATTATTCCGAGTTTTTGGCAGGTGATCGCAGAAGAGTTTTGTTACGTGGACTGACTGAATCCTTGACAGATATTTTACCACTTTTATATTCAGTATGTCACATCAACCATGTCTTTACCTTGTCGTATTGTCTTGATTTTCTGTCCCTACATGACCTCAGTGATATTTTATTTTGTGCTACCGTTGTGAAAAGTGCTGTATGCTTTGCAACTTTTTCTTAGTTACTTGATGTGAATTATGCAATTTATTTATTTTTAATGTAGTTACTTGAAAGACATTTTGGAGCTGCTTTGAGTGAATATAACAGGCAACAACTAGATGTAGCTAAGAAGCACGCGGCTACAGTAACAGCTGTTCTAAATGCCATAAATGCATATGCGGAATGGGCTCCCTTACTAGACCTCGCCAAGTATCACCTTATTCTTGGGTATGCTATTTTTCTCTTTTATATTTAGGAGCATTTATGCATAGCTTTATAGCATATATACCACACAATTCTTTTATATTTACATATCTAACACCTAAACTTTAATATTTACATTCATAACACCAAAATCTTTAACATCACATCAAAAATACCACTTTACTAACTTTTGAAAGGTCAGATGCACCTTTTTATTCATAGGTTTATAGCACCAAGGTGTTATTAATGTAAATATCAAACTTTAGGCGTTAGATATGTTAATTCATAAGAATTGTGTGGTAATTATGTACATTTCCCGTATATTTATCACGAGATACTTGTTGTACTCGCATTTTGTTGGGCAGATGTGGATTATTGCTTTCTTCCCCTGAGTTTCGCCTCCATGCTTGTGAATTTTTCAAACTTATGTCGCAACGGTACACCCGTATTTGCTCTTTCCCGTTTAATTTGCAAATTGGAATGGTAACTCGTTTGTCATAAGGCTCATTTTCTTTGTATTTAATTTTCATAGGAAAAGACCTCAGGATGCAATTGCATCTGAGTTCAATTCTGCTATGGTTAATACCTTCCAGGTCTTGATGCAAGTTTCTGGCAATTTCTTGAACAAGTTTGGTATACGCGCTGTTGTCGCTGATGAAAGTGAATTCGAGTTTGCTGAGAGAATATGTGAGAGCATGGTTGTGTTGGGTTCTTCACACTTGCTTTGTATTGCATGGGATGGGAACATGACCTCTCAGTTTCTTCAACTGGTGATTACTGAAGTTATTTGTGTTGTTTTGTTTTGGTGGCATTTACATACGTACCAATCAATTCCTATGTATTTGCAGCCCTAACACCTAAACTTCATTTTTTACATTTAGACCACCCAAGTCTTTCATATCACATCAAAAATAGCACCATTTTAACTCGTGAGAAATCAAATACACCTCTTCATGCATAGTTAAAGTGACCTGTATGTAAAAATTAAGTTTAGATGTTAGATATATAAATACACAGGATTTGAGTGCTATGTATGTAAATCTTCCGTTGTTTTATTACTTCATCATATTTGTCATTTCGAGAATCCAGGTATGTTTGTAAATCTTCCTTTGTTTTATTACTTCTTAATATTGTCTTCCTGAGAATTCAGATAATTTGAATTCTGTTCCTCTCGTATTGTTTTTTTTTCTAGCATTTACATGCATAACACACAATTCATATGTATTTACATATCTCACACGTAAACTTTCATATTTACAGACATAGCACTCATATCCTTCAGGATTGTTTGAGATCACTTTTAATTTTTTGTTTTTAGTATGTGAAAAATAAAATAAAAAACATGTTTGTTTGCTATTTTTTATCTGTTTTTTAATTTTTTTTTTATACAAGTGTTTTTTTTTTCAAAAATGCAAAACAGAAATAACCTATTTTTTGTGTTTTCAAAATAACTCCCACCGACCCCGACCCCGACCCCGACCCCAATGCCTTCAATGACATCCCTTGATTTGCTTTAAGATTTGTGCAAAGACCAATTGACAATTATTAGATGATGAATTGAATGATGCATGTGAATCTAAAAGTTGATGCAAAATTTATGAGTTATATTATATTCTTTCTTTCTCTGAATAAATTTTAATAATAGATATTTTTTATTTGTTAAACAAGTTATGGATACATTAAATAATGCAAGAAGTCACATTTTGCGATATCTAGGAAAAGATGAAACATAAAATAAAATGGACATTTACATACATACCACCTATTTCTTATGCATTTATTCAGCTAACACCTTAACTTTAGTTTTTATATTTATACCACCCAAAATTTTCATATGATTTAAATTTTTTTACTATTTTAACTTTAATAGGAAAATGAATTGGAACATATATGTAAAGTTTGAAATTTAGGTGTTAGATATGTCAATACATAAGAATTCAATGGTATGAATTTTAATCTTTCCAAATAATAAAGAAAAACGGGGGACACCAGCTTATGGGTTTGACAACATCAAGGAAGTCGCTGGAGCGACGACGGAGGAGGTGGAGGTGGAGTCAAACCCATAAGCTAAAAATATAAAAAATAAAAAAAAATATAAAAAACCAAAATGGGGGACACCAGTTTATTTTATTTTTTATATATTTAGCTTATTTTATGGGACACCAGCTTATGGGTTTAAAAACAGAAAAATTATAAGTGTTATGAATCATGTTTTTATTTTATGTTAAAACAAAATAAAACAAAAATAAAATAAGCTAAAGTTATAAAAAATAAAATAAACAAAAAAACAAAAACAAAAAAACAAAATACTGAAACTGATCCCAAATGACCCCTTAATATCAATAAGCAATAGAACTTTTACCACTTTGCAAAAAGTGAAATAGACCTTTTCATGCATTGGTTTAAAACACCAAAATACTTATAAAGATGAAACTGTTGGTGTGAGATATTTAAATACATATGAATTGCGTGTTACGTGTATAAATTTCCTTTTTCTTTTTTCAATTCTTCACCATTGTCAGGGTCTTTATCTGTTTCTCCAACAAACTAAGCTGTTACAACTAACCAATGATAGACCTTTTATTGAAGGATCTTAGCCAATAGAAGTTATAAAATTCCCTTGAAAAACAAAATAATGATAAAAACAATAGAATAGTTGAAGAATATTTTATATATAAAGAAGTCTAAGTTGATTATCGCCTTCATCAGTTCATTAGCTTGATCATCGTGGCAATTGGATCAAACTGTTGAAGCTATTTGTAAATCATGAGAAGTCCTCCAACACACTCAATAGACTACATCAATTCACTTGGAGCATTACAATCTCTCATTTGAAGAAAATATTAAAGAATTTTTATTGAAGATCGGGAAAATGGCAGCATCTCATCAATAAAATTTATTTGACATTGGAAGGCTACAAATTTTTCCTTTGGATTGGAATCTTGCATAATGGTAATAGGTGTCAATGATAGAAGTAGAAATGCAATGATTTGCACAACAATAAGTATTGAAGTTTTGAGGACATCTCAACCAAGTGACATAGTTGCAACAATATTAGAAGTTAGACCCATACTAATATTATGAGGCAAATCATTTACAAACGCATTGATTTTAGTTTTCTATGATTGTAACTTCTTTTAGTAGTTCTGATTGAAGAAGATGAGTAGGTGGGCTGTAGAAAGTGTGCTAAAGAATCAAAATGGATCATAGCTTCATATTAAAATTTCTAACCTTCGATGAGCTTTTGAGTAATAGCTTAAAATCCTTTATCTTGCGTTACACCCTTAATTCTAGAACCACTAATTAATCCTTGCAAATACTCAACACATAATGCAACGTAATTATAAAATACATGCTTTGATAATATTGTAACAAAGATAAGGTAAAGGCTAAGTCATGAAGTGGAAGTGGTATAACAGACTTTTTCTGGTTGAATTTTATAGTTTGTTTTGAGTCCAATTTTAAATTCAGTATCTGTTTTGTTTTTACTTGTAAAATCAATGAAGGATCATGCATACTATTAATTTGTATCAACTTTAGATTATCATTTAAAAAGAGCTCTTCTTCTAACATCTCTTTAATATTTATGTCTTAAGGTTTTGACAGTTTATTAGATTATCTTACAGACGGACTACAACTTTGAGGGTCCAGCTTTGTAATGTGCTTCTTTTAATTTCATAGATTCAAATAGTCTTATCTTATTTTTATTTATAGGAAAATCATCTTAAACTTAGATTTTAAGATTCATGTTTCTTTTTTGATTATTTCATTATCAGGTGTTAATCTATTCTAAACTTTTTGTTGACAATCAAGTTTTTTCTCCATATATTTTTAACGTTGACTCATGTTCTATAATAATTAACTTTTAAAATTTTTTAAATGATGTAATTAAAAAAAAAAGAGCTGGTAATTATCTGCATACGACACCTGTACATCATGTGTCGTTCAAATATTTCCCGCACTGCCCGCAGGAAGTGAAGACAAGGGATTTATCCCATCGTTCATTCAAACCCACCGCATGAATGCAACAAGCGAGTGAGAGAGAAAGTGAGGTAGGAAAAGGGAGAAGAAGAAGAGGAAGGAGTGGACGAACTACTCTGTCTACTGCCGCGGGAGAAATATGAGTTAGAGCAAACTAGAGGGAATGGGAGAAGTGACAATCATGTTAGCTTACCTTCACGTAAAGCATTTGAGTGACCCAAATTGAAGAGGCGAGTCGTGTTCGAGGGAGAGAGGAGGGGAGCGGGGGCACTGGGAAAAGATCATTCGTGCGGGGGACACTTGATCAGGCACCTAAAGGCTCGAGTGACTCCAGCGCGCCTCCATCACACACCACCTAAAGGCTCGAGTGGCTCGAGCGAGCCTCCATCACACTTCATCGACAAATCCCGAGTAGGATAAAGGTGGAAATTGAGCTTGTACAGGGGTTTAGGGTTTGCATCTATTTCTTATGCAAGGGATAAAGGGAAAATGAGAAGCTTTCCCCAGTTGCACGAGAGGAATTCGAGCGAGTTTTGTGTACTCCGAGTGTAAGGAGAGGCTAGACCGAGCGTATATTAACTCTGATCGAAGGGGAAATAATTATCAGTGAAGGTAAGTGGGGTTTTCGACATTTTTAGGTGAGAATTTTCAATTTGGAAGTTAGGGTTTTAGGATTTATTATTTATGAGAAAGTTTTGAAGAAATTTAAGAAACCTTATATTTAACTTAAATTTTGTTAAAATTTGTTTAGGAATTTGGCGGGAAGGCCAAAGAAAAAAATGAAATGTATAATATTAAATACAGATTTTTATGGTTATGTAGCTTAGGATAAGTTAGATGTCATAAAAAAAAAACCTAAGAAGGTTATCAAATTAAAATGCTTGAAAATTTAATTGATTTAATTGTAATTTATAATTATATTTCTTAAAAATAAATTGATTGAATAGTTAATATTTACAAAGTTGAACTAATTAAGTACTTATATGGAATATCAAATAATAATTCAAGTAGATAAATTACAAGAAAAAAATGTCTAGGTAACTTATGTTAAATTTAAGATGAAAAATTTACCAAGAATATAGTAAAAGTTAATAAAATCCAATGCATTACTATAACTACACTAAATGATTGTTACAAGGAAAAATGATATCAGGGGTAATTATGTTTTTAGTTCACTATTGTTCTGATTAGTTATGAAATTTGCAACTATTTTTCTTTTATTTAATATTTTTAAAATATAAATTTCATGTTTTCAAATGTTAGCTAAAAGAAATAAAATACGATATATTCATGCATATGTGGAGTCACCCTCAAATGATACTGAAAGTTGATATAATGTAATCGTGCATGTAAAATGCAAACATAAATGGAATGGGTTGCCTATATTTTTGGTGGGTTTTGAAAGATATTAAATATATATTTATTATATGTTTAGATGGTAACTCTCACTAACAGATATTGCAATTGAAATGAATTCAAGTAATCATAAAATTGATTTTCTTACTCACGGTTTTTTTACTGCTTACTATATTTATATAAAATATTGTTTAAATAAAAGTTATTGTAATTTAAAGGTTTTTTATGTCACGAGTCCACCCGAGAGCTTGGAATTACCCAGGCGATAATTGTCGTTCGGACGAAGAAAAAATTATTTAACAATTTTATTTCATAATTAAAATTAAATCTAAAAAAAAGTCATTTCTAGTTATAAAACATTAATTTACGACAGTTCTTATATGTTTTATATTTACAACTGTCATGTATTAAAAACTAAAATATAACTACCTAT